ATTGTCGACCAGCAGTTCGAAATCCCAGGATATTGGTGAAGATGAGGAAATGGTCACATGCCCATCCTGTCTGGAGCCGTGGTCGATGATACCAGAAGGTCCGTGGAGTGAAGTACAAGGTCTATGGCACTTCATGAATCTGGTAGCCTGAAAAATGTAGGTTTGCCATCGTTCCCCACACATAAATCCGCAGCATCCACAGCTGCTAGAAGTTCCTTGCCTAGAAAATCTACACTCTTACCTCCCCAGAGTGGATGGTGCAGCGTTAAAATCGCCACAGATTATTTGAGGAGCGGGACATCGAGTACAAAGGTCCTTTAGGAAAGTCTCCATGGAGACCTTTTTTCATGGGCTTATGTACACCAATACCACACTCAGTTTTCGGTTTCCCAGGCACACTTGCACAGCAGCGACTTCCAGTGAGTTGGAACAGAGGTCTTGCACTGGTAAGGCGACGTGAGGTATTTCCCGCCTTATGTATATAATTGCGCTTCCATTTGCAAACTGACGTTATGCTCGGGTTGCCGTATCGGGTGTACCCTGGGAACGTCCTTGTATTTGGTAGACCGGCTTCGGAGAGGGCTAGAATCGGTATTGAAATGTCGCGCAGGAAAAGGTTGAGTTCGCACAGACAGTTTTAGAAGACCAGCGACATTCCATTGCATTATTAAGGGCACTTTTGAAGGACGAAATAGACCAGGTGGGCGAGAACATTGCCATTATTCTACTGTGTGTTTGTGGAAGCAGAGCAAAGTAACACTGACTCTAGAGCTAGGACTGCTTCCAACATATCCTTCGTTGAACTCGCAGGCATCTTAGCGACGTGTGAACGTAGTGCGATGAACAGAGCGCGAATAACGTGCTCGAGGCTTTCTTGCTGTTCGCTTCCAGATGGTACTTGAGGTGGGCTCAGTGCATCAGCGTAGGTGCGCTTGGCGGACTCTTTCGTGATACATTTCTCACCAGCGTTGAGCACTAGCGTCGACTCAGTACCAGCTCTTGTCGGATTTAGGCGCGGAAAATTTCCTGCGTACTCGCTATCTGAACCGCCATGTTGTGGCGTGCCGGACGTCTTCTTTGTGAGCGATGGTTTGTTCACAGTCTTCGAGGCCGAGGACAAACGTCTTATTTCTTCACTGCGCAGCTGTTCGTGCTGGACACCGGCCGTAGCTGGCTGGGTAGGCATCGCCACAGTTTGCACACACAAGTTTTTCTTTACTTGTACACGTCTTGAAAGTCATGAGGCCCCCCACAGAGCTTACACCTTTGTTACCCACGACAGTGCTTAGCAACATGTCCAAAGCGCTGACATTTAAAACAGCGTGGCGGCGTCTCCTGCTTAGCAACATGTCCAAAGCGCTGACATTTAAAACAGCGTGGCGGCGTCTCCACGTAGTCTACCAGCTCGTGTCTGGTGAAGCCAAGGTTGATCTTCTCTGGACGTTCGCAATTGGGAGCGAATGTGAGAACCACAGAGTCAGTGCGCCTTGATTCCCACTCGGAGGATGAGGTTCGGACCCGTCGTATGATTCTTCTTGCATGGTATACTCCCTGAGGTCTCAGGTAGGTTAACAGCTCTTCGTCCGAGTACCATCTTGGGACTCCTTTCATAATGCATGTATTTTTCGTGTAGCTGTGTGGTACACGGGCAGATATGGCAAGGCAGCAGATAGTGTTGGTCTCTAAAAACATATTAGCTTGGTGTTCTGTCTCTATATCCAAGAGCAGGGCTCCCTGTGCTGTGAAATGGCTCTTAACTGGGGCTCCACTGAGAATCGTTTCAATTTCCGAGTATAGGTCAATAGGATTCACTTGCCTCAAGTTAGCTCCTTCGGATGTTGGAGCAATTAACACAGGAATGCCCACCGTCCTGTCTTTGCGATGTCGCACAAGACGGAAACCACCCTCGTCCATGTTTAGGTCTGTGAGGTTCGCCCTGTTGTGATCCCCGACGACAGTTGATTCGTCCTCTGATTCAACGCTGGGTTGTCGCTTGCAGTCAGGTATGCTTGCGCAAACCAGCTGGTGCTTCTGACCTGGTGTCACACCTTGGGAGGTCATGGCGGCGCTCTCCCTGATGCTTGTTTAGTTTCTTCTAGCACCTTCAACGCGGCGGGCTGCGCAGCACCCGTCGGTCGCCGATACGGCAGGTACCTTTTCGAGTCGTCCGACGTCTTGAGCAATGCTGAGCCGTAATATAAACAAAAATGTGTTTGACACAAGTTGACTTCAGCAACAAGCTGCGAATATTTGTAAAGATTACACCCAATGTAAGGTTAGCTTCACAAACTTTGCTATGATGAGTTTTTTTTTCTTTTACAGCCTGTTGATTGCAACTGATGTTCTTTTACAGTTTGCGAGGCTTCGTCATAAGTATATGTTTTTTGAGCCAATAGAAAGTGTCTTGATTTAGCCTAGGCAAAAGCAACCGAATGCTTACGATCATTTCTAACAGAGGGGGAAAAGTCCTGTGCAAAATTCTAAATAGTTCCCTTTAGTTTTCGAGCATAGTACGATCACACAGCTAATATATGTGGGTTGGACGTAGGTCATACCCGGGAAAGAGAAGATTAAGAACTGCAATGCTTGTCAACATAAGCAGCTGCCCAAAAGTGTAGTCAGGAGCTTTGCAGTGGCAAAATCTGATTTTCGGTCGCGCTAATGGCATTACCATGACTATAGTTAAACCCCTTTATAAGAGGCACACTCAGGGCACCAATTCTTGTCTCTTATATGAGATGTCTCTTATAAGCAGGGCACCATGTAGGCATTTTCTCATCAACCCATATTTTATTGTGGACAGACACAGTGGTGTCTCTTATACCCATTTGTCTCTTATATCAGTGCCTCTTATAAAGGGGTTTCGACTGTATTTGTGCCATTTTTGAATGCAGAACAAGAAGTGAAACTTCTGCTTCTAAAGGCAAGGCACAGCCACGCCTTAGAATGTTGCTGAAATAACTAATTTATAATGAGGTATAAGCTGAAGTATCTTTCTCGAGAAGTTACTTCGCAAACGAATGGTCTTCTATTCTTTTTTTTTTTTTAGAGAGGAGGAGAAAGATTAGGTTCGAAAACCGAACTATTCCTTCCAGCAATTCTTGCGGTAGCATGGCTCAGCGAAAGTCAGCGTTCCCAGGAGAAAGAAAGGCTCCTCTTTTCTGGACAGTCGCACAGTGTTATGATCGGCCTCCCTAGCTTGCCTTCACTCGAACGCGTGAGACATTGTGGCTGAGCCTACCCTGATTTCTTCCAGGTCAGCGCTTCCAAAGATGCCCCAAAAGCGGTGACAATAGGAAAGTTGTTCTTCAAATTATCCAGGGCCGTCGGCGCCTTTTATAAAACTCTTTGGACACGCCTGACCCACTGACGAATTAGGAAGAGCTGTTGGCTATCGAGGCGGCTTGCTTTGTACGGCAAGTTGCATCAGACAATAAGCCAAGCATGTCAGACCTGTGTCCCTGTGCATTTCCTATGTCCTCCGTTGTGCATTTGTGCCGCCGTTTCCATAAACCATGGCTCTGCCCGGTGCCGCACACTCGTCACTTGCAACAGACTACAGAATTGATTTGCATGTAAGACTCAATGTCTATGCGCTGTGCTGTGTTGTGCATGTTGCGCTGTGTTGTCTCTCTTGCTATGGAATGAACTGGATGTGCCTTTTCCCTCTTTCCTGGGTCGAAAAGGAGGCGATGTTTCATCCGCTCATTTTGGGGGCGGAGGTGAAGTTGGCAATTTTCATTGAACTGTCCAAGCCTCCATGATGTTTCCCTGCAGGGAATCCTGGGAAGACCAGTGCTTAAAACCTGAGCACTGAGATGCTCTCGACAAGTTCCCATCAAGCTTTCATCGAGAGCTTCCGTGATGCTACCACCGTCATATAACACGATATCTGTAAATAATGTAAATAAAAGTTACTGTTCACAGCTCTGGCTACTCTCCTTAACATTTCCCCGAAACTCTGGCAGGCTTCGGTCCTATGCGCAGACCCCCAACTACATGATTAGTCTAACCGAATCGGGCATTATAGGCAATGACTCTTCTTTTTGATGGCTTTAATGAAACAATGCGCAGGAATTTCTCTCGAAGGAATGGAGACACACGCAGCCCTGCTATGCAGAAAGATCCAAACAGCGAAACTTTCTTGCCAACCAGCACCTGCGCCGAGGGAGGGAATGCTGGGCGGGGTACTTGCAGTGACGGCACACAAAGAGAAGTCCAATCGTCATGACGCCCCTCCTTTTGCTGCTGCAGTTGCCCTTTCCCCCTCCTTTGTTCAGATTGAAGGGAAGGGCACGAAATGCCAAGAAATCCATTCTAGCCTAGAGGAAGACAAGTCCACTTTCTATCAAAATGTCCTGCACAAGCACACAGCCCCTGTTACCGGTTTCTTTCATCGCAAGCTTTCACCTAATTGCTGCCGTTTCTAGGCACTCATGCTATGCGACTTCTAAAGGCAGCTGAGGGAAGGGCAGTGTAGGTGTGGCTAGAGGGGGCCCCTTTTGCAAGCCTTTGCTGACCCCATCCATACACAGCAAGGTGATATGCAACATTAGATAGGCAATAGTGTAACTCAACCAATATTTAGTTCGCGGCGACAGGAAACAGTCGGTGAGAGCTGGTATAGCTGGCTGGAGTGTGCCCTTGCGAACATGCGCAAAACAGTCGGCCAACCAGTCTGACTTGGCGGTGAAAATTTCATGATTATAAGTGACCCGAGAGCCAGGGCATTGTTTGGTGGCCGCAACAAAGCACATGAAATACTCTTTTTAAACCTTGCCATTTTACAGCAAGTTCCCAAGTAACGCAGAAGGAAGTGTCCAAATGATTTTCGCTTCCTGCTGTTGACAAAATTATGTCATGCAACAAATGTTCAATTCATTCCAGTTTTGCAAAGGTGACTCTGCACGCTTACGCAAAAGCTAGCCTTCAAAAACCATTACATTTGTTCTGTTCTCAGGCAGCACTGTTGGGAGAGGAAAAACCAGTTTCGCACTTACCGGTTTACAGCACCTGGGTTTGACAATGCTTCAGGATATTCCTGGTGGGCTCCCGCTTGAGGTGCTGCGAACAGGCCGAACTGTGAAGTTGGCGCTCCAGCCAGAACATTTCTCAGTACTGACACTAACTATAAAGCCTAGGCACTAGAAAGGTATACATTTCCTAGTGTCATGAACATGTGCGTTCTGCAATGGCAGCAGGAAAAACCGGATTCTATGCACCGCACAGCTGCACTGTTCGTTGCTGGTGAATTAGCGAGTGAAGGCTGACGGCAGGTTGGAGCAGGTGGAAGTGCAAATATGTCATTGTCTCAGAAATGCTACCCAAAACATTTATTTTCGCAGGAGATTTTGATGCTCAGTGTTATCTCTGAGACCGATGCACTGAGGGAGACCACGAAAATTCTATTTTTGAGGACCATATTAATTGTCTTCTACAGCTTCACATATGCAGGCGTTAGCTGACTGACATAATTTTTCTGTGTACGTAGTCTTAGCAGTCTTGACATGGCATCTTCCTCCCTATGCACACGCAGCATTTCTTTGAAGTGCTCCAACTGAAAACAAACGCGGTTTGAGTGTTTCTATCTATCATCAAGAAGAGAACTGTACATTTAAAGGGGCCCTCTAACGCTTCAAAACATCGGTGCTGATTGCATCAACTCGTAGTGGCTCTTGCCAGAACTACTGCGAGCAAATATGACAAGGGAGGGCGCACAATCAATGTAACGTAATCGCGGCATTTCACCCACATAACTTATAGGTTTATTTCATATTTAGCATGATTTTTAACTGAACACAAAAGAGAATAAAGTCATCTGACCTCTACAGCTTGAAAAATGCAAAGCCGATCAGAAAATGCGCCCAACGCTACCATGCAGGAACAAAAGTGCCAGAAACGCTCCAGGCACCGTTGTTTGATAAAATTAAAGAGAAAAAATTTTAAAAGAATGAATAATAAATGCTATTGCAAAAAGGAGGATCATTAAAGTTATGAAACCTAATAGAAGCGTTCGCGGGCTGCCTTGTTTCCCGTTCACTCTTCAAGTACCACAGTTGCCGCAGCAACCATCGCCTCGGCGTCCTCAATATGTTGGGCATCACTGGCAATATAGCATGCAAGCTTTTTGTATATGATAGGGCTTTCAGTTCATTTCATTGGGCAGCCACCCAACGTCACAAGGCGAGGGAAACATGATTAGGTGAGTACGCGAAAATCGAGTTGAGAGTAGGTGTCTATTTTATTGTATCTTGATTTTCTATGCAAAATAACTTTGAACTGTGTGCCCCTAACGCTCCCGTTCTTGTGGCACTTATCTGTTAAGCCTTCGGTGTATCCTACCAGCTAAAAAAACATGTAAAACAATGAGGTCGTCAAAAGTGCTAGAGAGTACCTTTAAAGCTCGTTTTCCTTGTGAAACAGTGTTATTGGGATCTAACAGACAACCATGCCAAGGAAAGTATGGAGGATGTTATCAGAAGTATTTGTAATGTAAATGTGAACAAAGAAAAGTGTATGAAAAGATGACTTGCGGTGGGCAAAGACCGAACCTGCGACCTTTGAATAACGGGTCTGATGCTCTACCAACTGAGCTGCCATAGCGGCTATGCCCCCGTCCAGTTTACGTGGTATATATGTGCATTAAACGTTGGAGTGTTAGTCAGCCGCTTAGGAATGTCTGGGTGTTACAGTTGTCTACTCCTTAACCTGGAATAAACCGACATTATCAAATAAGTACGCAAATGTAACGAACTCGACTGACAGGTCGCGAAACGTATAACATGATATCCTTGACGTGTATGTCACGAAATACTTTTCCTTAGCCACGTGTGGCATATACCCATATAACACGGGCCTTGATATGCGTGCCACACGCATGTTAGAAGGATAGTATTAGATGCACATTTCCAGAAAAATCTCAAGAGGTACAAAGAAAAAAATTACATATTCATACGAAGTGGAAACTCGACATTCTGCTTGGGCAGAATGTGGAACGATGAATAAGAACGGTGAGGTTCTGTGATCCAGACATTCTGCTTGGGCAGAATGTGAAACGATGAATAAGAACAATGGGGCTCTGTGATCCAGACATTCTGTTTGGGCAGAATGCCTGGATCACAGAGCCCCACTGTTGCTTGAAGGTTCTGCAGAAAAAAAAATTTTTAGTAGTGATGGCTGGGCAACATCCCAAGTGGTTTCGGTGTTGGCTAACCACTTCGATAACAATGTAATATGCATTACACATACACTACTATGACTATACTTATGCGTTGTAAGTACCGTTTAGCATCTAGTCCATTTGATGACACTTGCGTATGTGTTTCGTCGTGTGTAGCACTGTGACATAGGATCGCGGGCTAGCCTTTAGGCGCCAGTGAGCTCCACATCCCTCATGAGCACTCGATGCGCGAAACTACTCAGAGACTTCGCCACGCCGTGCACAAAATCTAGCATCACAAGAACTCAATTCACACAATGCATGAGATCCACCAAAACTTGTTTTGCACTGCTCTTAACTCGTCTACGATCGACCCCCCACCCGCCCAGCCTCCTCTCACACGCACTCATATGAAGCCGGTTGTTTCAGTTGGTAATTAAAGGCTGGAATGCTCCATTGGCAAGTGCCTGAGGGCTAAAGATGGAATGAAAAAAAGTAGATAAAAAACATGCCTCACTTTTTTTGCTACTTAAGAGCTGCCTATACCATATTTGTTATTTGGAAAGGGACCCATCTCATTGTATCCCTTATAATAATATCTGAAGTTCTACATCCCAAAACCACGATGAAACACCGTTACTTGAGGGCTGGGGAAGGTTTGAACATCTGGTGCTGTGTAACGTGCAGTGACATTGCACAGTAGCCGGCCCTCTCATATTTAGTCTCCGCCAAAATGCTACTACAGCGAACGGGATCAACCTCGCATCCTTCGGGTCAGCAGCCAAGCACCGTCACCGCTACACAGTATTGTTCTATCCCTGCTCCCTGTACAGGAAGCACTATGCAGCGAGGAGGTTAATTCTTTATGACGAGCCTGCCAAGTGAGCTTATATATCTAGCAACTAAATGCGTTAAGTAGAAAAGGGGGGAAAATGTCATGCATGCGTGTCCTTTGCTGATGAAAATGAAAAAGGGACACCAGTCTCCTGTTGAACTAGGATACGACATGGATATTATAGCAGCTGTTCAACTTTATTTCAATCTGCGTCTTGAGAAGTTCCTGTTAGTTATGCCTGTGTGCAACTGAAGATCTTCCTAACTGTTCCAACACGCACCATGCCTAAAAAGAAAAAAAGAACGTGTTTTGTGTCGTTATGCAAAAGATATCATGCGAAGAAAATGTATACCCATATTCAGAAGTCCAATGGAGCCAGTACACTTACAAGAGTGGGTGCAAAATACAAATTGTGGTTTTTATTGTGTATATAAATTTTATTTTATTGTGTTTTATTTTCACTTCTAATTAAATTTTTTATTAATTTAGGCCTATTGTTTTCTTTTCCTGTTACTCACGTCTGCATCAAAATGTTTGTTTTTGTGTCTATTTGACTATTTACTGCATTTTGTGTTCTTGATGTAACCACTATATTTGTCTGTGAGTATTTCTATCAATGTTCTCATACATGACAGCATGAAAAATGATGTTATTAAACCCCGAATATACTATGTACATCTATTGAAGCAAACTAGTTCTGTGAAAATCCGCAAGGTTGCGAAAGGGTCAACAAAGGGAACAAACACAACTGCCCATTGTAGCACGAAGCCACAAGGAAAACCATATGGATTTCAGAGAATGAAAAGCTTCTAAGTTGCCGCAAAATTGGTTGCGGTTCGAACCCAGGAGCAATGCCTATTCAAGGCGGTCGCTCTACCAATTGAGCTAACGAGGAAGCTAGCATTTGGCAGCGTGAGGGCGAATTCATCGACGATTTGAAACACGTGAACACAAGTAAAAGTTTTGGGAAAGCCCGCAAGGTGGCAGAAGGGTTGAGAAAAGAACAAAGGCAACTGCCCGTTGTAGAACGAAGCCACAAGGAAGACTTGTGGATTTCAGAAAAAGGAAAGCTTCTAAGTTGCCGAAAAATTCGTTTCGATTCAAACCCAAGATCAATACTCATATAAGGCGGTCGCTCTATTAATTAAGCTAACGAGGAAGCTAGCAATTGGCAGCGCTAGGGCGCAATCATAGACAATTTGAAGCACATGAACACAAGTAAAAGTTCTGCGGAAACCCGCAAGATGGCGGAGGGGTTAAGAACAGGAAAAAATACTGGGAAATGCTTCGTGCTACAATGGGTGGTAGTCTTCTTTCCCTTTCTTTCTCCTACATCTACAGTTTTGTGCATGCTTTATATGCCGCCAGCATCATTTGTTTTGAAGACGCGGGCCTGCTTGCTTAGTCTTAATTTCCCATCCTTTATTGGCACTTTGTGTGGCGAACACAACGCGCTTATACCACAATCACAATGCTTGGTTTCAAAGTGAAGAACTTGTCAGGGTGCAAGTGAAACGTGTCAGTGAGCGGCTGCGACCTCAGGAGGCAGTGTCGTGAACTCGTTCCGCTCACTGGGAAGTGAAAGCTACCCGAGAGAATGGTGGCTAGGACTAGTTTCTGACTCAATAGTGATGATATGTTTGCACAGCTGAAATTGAATGAGGACCGAGGAGAGCCTGTGTGGTGTCCCCTCCTGCGTCCTTGTTCCATTTCCTGCTGTACAAAATAGTCGAGCGTGAAAGCAGAACGTATACCTTTCTTCACCAGTTAGCTATTTGACTCACCTGCCCTGTACTTACTCACCTCACTGACATAAAAATCCCCTGAGCTCACTCAAGAAGTTTTCACTTTGGGACCTGCTTCTGTGACATTGATAACTGTATTTTTGTGATGTCATCCTAAGCATCAAACATCAAGTTAAATTTCAACTTTCCACACCAGGTTTTCAATTGACGTTAAGTGCTTCTCAGTAAAGTGCGCCATTGTACAGCCAGGTCACCTCTTTGATTTTACGCATTTTGCTACGACATGCAAACGAGAACTGACCTCTAGCGGCACATGTCGCCCACCCAGCCATGGCCGTGAGCAGGTCGAAGTCCTGGCGGGCAACACCCCATTCTTCGAGAAGTGGGCGTCCAACGAATGAATCCCAGTAGCAGCGGTGGTGGCAACATGTCGCCATGAGCACGCCATGGATGCTTCTGCACATAGACAGCTACTGTAACTGTTGTCAGGCATGACGCATGGAGACAGAACAGTGACAAGACCACAAGACTGTGTCCTAGTACTCGCGCTAATCCGCATGATCTTGACGACACACCATGCAGCGTTTTTTGAAGATACATGAAGGAGGGAACAAAACAAGGTTGATCCCTCTATCATACGAATTGGTAAAACAGGAGAGTAGAGTGTGTGTTTAGAGAAGAAGTTTAATTGTTTACTGTTCAATGATATAAAGGAGCTTCCACAATGTCTATTGGTGTTCGACAGCTATAGCACTGCTTAATGTGAATGCATCCACGTTGCCGCTTAGTCATACATCTTTATCTCGATGACTAACGTTCATGATTAATGATTAAACAAACCCTTGTGGTCAGAGATGCTTGTGGTAGCTATAGTAGTTAAGGGTGAGAGCAGAACCAGAGAAAACGACGTGACAGCCAGAAGAGCGTCACTGATTGGACGCTAAATTTGGTCTAAGTTCACTTACTCGCAGCAAGTTAGAGTTAAACACCACTGCCTGATGGGAGGAAAATGCAACACACACACAGCGTCTTCCCTTTGGTGGGCTGTGATTGTTCACGGAGTTGAAGCCAGACGAAGCTGGTGAGGGTCGTAAACTATATGGTATGAATGGATGCTATGAGCAATGACATCGCCTAGGATAAGCTCACCACCTGGAGGTGTGTTAAAGCGTTGACTAAATAGCAGTTCTTCCATTGGAAACACACCGAATGGGGCAGATTCCTAGAAGCGACACGTTGAAAGAACTAATCCCAGGTGTCATGGTCATGACACATGACTGCGCTTTACCAGGAATGTTGAGAGGACAGCAGTATATATAAAAGGCAAATTCTTTAAAACATGCAAAGTATGTGACTTTGGGGAAATGGATAGCATACTCGGCATCTGTTGTACCGGACCCAAGGGTCATGAGTTCGAATCGCATTGACGGAACTTTTTTTCTTTGTCCTCTGATCGTGCGTACTTTTTCGACGTAACTTCCATCACAGAAATACATCATTGAAATCTTGGTGCACCCAACATAAAAAACTTTCATGTTAGACAGTCGGTTTCACTGCAACGGTGAAGCAACGACCAAGATAGCAACAAATTGTAGTGTAATGTTAAATGATGCTGACAACTACTTCTTTTAGATCCAAGTTAATGCAAGATTAGACAATGCTGGTTTCCAGAATGACATAACTATAATTATGGTGTAATATACATAGTAATAATTGATACATATGGCATACACTAAGTTTTTAAAAAGCACTTCTACTTATAGTTCAGTTATACTAAAGATTTGTCAATAATGATTCGACACACATGCTTTACCTTATCAGAGGAAGGTTGGGAAGGTGGTTCAACTCCGTAAATCAGGTAAAAAAAACTTAGCAACCAACTATCGGCCCATTTCTCTTACAAGCACCTGTTGTTAACTACTAGAACACATCCTATTCAAAGGCATCATCGATTTTCTTGAAGGTAACACCTTTTTTTCTCTTTCACAACATGGTTTTAGGAATTCCTACTCATGTGAGACTCAACTCATATTTTTCACTGATCATTTGCATCGAGTTCATCATTCATGATGCACTGATTGTTTTTTCTAAGATTATTCAAAAGCATTCGATAAACTTTATCATAAGCTTCTCATCCACCATTGACCATCATCCATCATTGACCATAATCTACTAATTTGAATTGAATGTTTTCTTACTAATCACTCACAATACGTTACTGCAAATGGCTACAATTCCTTGACGTCCCCTGTTGCCTCAGGAGTGCCCCAAGGATCGGTTTTCTGTCCTTTGTTGTTTTTAATATTGTTGCGCATGCCTTGGAAGAAAACAAAGATGGGTGAACAGGCTGGCTGCCCGAAGCTGGAGGAAGAAAGAAGACGACCACACTGCGATCATCAACCTGTTGGCCGCTCCGGCGCTTCTCTTCGCGACCAAAATTCATTTCATTTTTTCATTTTATTTTATTTCAAGTTCTCTTATTACATGAAAATACACAACACTGGTTAGACCCATAGCCACTGGCTAGTAGGGGGTCTAAATAAATATGCATTTAAAGGAACAGATTGTGTTAACAAAGCAGATATTTTATAAGTACACTTCAATCATACAAGAAAAAAAGAAAAAAAAATCGAAACAAAATATAAGAAGGAAACATATTTGTGATAAGTCATTTGCAGTATCTTGCAGCATTGTTCCATGCAAACAACGGATTGTATGTATACAATACATCAAATACATAAAAGTACGTATACCATGTCAAGTATGATTTTGTTAGACATATAATCTATATATAATGAAGAGGAGATTACAACGAAGTGTGTGTTAGTGTACCTGTTCATTTTTCTGCAGAAAGTATTTTTTAAGAGCACAGGCAAAACTTTTGCTTTCTTTTATTTGGCATGGTATATCATTCCAGACCTTTACTCCAGCAAATTGTAGCAATCGTTTGCCATAAACATTGTTAGTAGGCGGAAGATTGAAATTATGTAATGTGGCACGTCTGGTAACGCGGCAAGAGGATGAAAATACTGATATATGAAAGGGCAGGTTATAAGAAATGACATTATGGACAGTAAGTGCAATTTTTTGCTGTCGTAAATTATCGAATGGTATGATTTCCATATTACGAAACAATGGCGCGCTGTGTTGATCCTATCTAGCATTGTTTATTATTCGAAGTGCTCGCTTTTGTAGTATACGTAAGGGTTCTAGATATGTTTTAAAAGTCCATCCCCATGAATCTATGCAATATGTTAGGTGACAATGAAAAAATGTGAAATAGAGAATTCAGAGAATACTACTTTCACAATAATTTCTAGCGGTTAATAATGTACTGCATCCAGATCCCAGTTAAGCGCATACAGAGTTAATGTGGCTTTGCCAGTTTAGCTGGCTAGCGAGAATTACACCCAGATATTTGAATTCTTTCGTCTTCTCAAGCACGCAGTTATTTATTGTAATGCAAATGGACTCATTACTTATATCTCGATAACGGGAGTGGAAAATAGTGTATTTAGTTTTTTTTGCATTCAGTGTTAGTTTGTTCGCTATGAACCACTGACAAACATTTTTTAGTTCTGCATCACTTTTATGCTCGAGATCCCTTATATTGTCTGCAGTAACAATAACGGCTGTATCATCAGCGTACATTAGCATCTCCGCCGATGTCAATATGTTTGGTAGGTCGTTTACGTACAGTGAAAACAGTAAGGGTCCAAGAACGGAGCCTTGTGGTACCCCTGTGTGTATATTTAACAGGGAGGAAGTGAGATTATGCATAATCACCATTTGTTGACGTTCGCTCATGTAACTAGAAAATAAGTAAAAAATTTTGCCACGTAAACCGTAGTGTCTTAATTTCATTAGTAATATATTATGGTCAACTGTATCAAATGCTTTCTTTAAATCAAGAAAAACTACTGCTACAAGGAGGTTATTATTTAAATAAACGGTTCCCTTCAGCCGTATACGTCCTGGTCCTCCTTGTGCGTGACAGATTGGTGGAGGTGCTGGGTAAGACAAATCCAACGGCGGGAGCTTCACTTCAAGGACTTCCCCGCAGCCACCACCTTACCGGACTCCCGCCTGCACCAGTCGTAATGGCCCAAGATCAGTCATCTAACGCTTCAAGGCCAACTACAGTGGGTTCCGTGCCTTACTACTGAGCCCTACCAACCTTCGGAGGAAAATCGGGAGAAGATGTCGACGCGTGGCTCGTCCAGTACAAGCGAGTCAGCAAGTCCAACGGCTGGGATGCCGCCTCTCAGCTCAGTAATGTGGTCTTCTGCCTTACGGATACTGCGCTTGTGTGGTACGACAATCACGAGGACACACTGACGACGTGGGACGTTTTTGTTGCGGAGCTGAAAGCGTGTTTCGGTGACTCGAGCATCAAAAGCATTGTAAAGTTTAGCGACATCAAAACTAAAGATAAAATATTGTCTGCACGCTCCCAATTTAAAATAAAAGACATAGGCATTAGCGAAGACTTCTCGCCCGCTACGCGCATCATCCGAAAAAAGCTCACTGACTTCGCAAAAAATCTGCCAGAATCCCCCCCAATTTAACTTACGTTACAACAAGCTATATGTTAACAAAAAATGCTACATGTTTGATACTAACGCTGGACAGGTTACTAAAGTAGAACGGCCTGGTCGAGGTTTCGAAAGTAACATCCAGGCACGTGTCCCTTCCTAGGAACGCGCGAGGGGTAGTGGCCCTAAATCTAACCCAAGGATCTCTGTTCTGTTCACGAACATAAGAAGCTTTCTTAACAAATATGATTCTTTATCTTCCGCAATAGATACCTGCGATGCACAAATAATTGTGCTAACCGAAACGTGGCTCCGTGCGCATGTGCAGGACTCAGAAATTTTTAATCAAGCGAGTCATTTTGCAATTTATCGTTGTGATTGAACTGCCCATCGGGGTGGCAGTGTTCTGTTGGCGATATCCAAAAACATATCTTCTTCTTGCATACACATTACCACCACTCTTGAAACTATCTGGGCTTTGCTCACTATTGGCCATCAAAAAATCGTCCTAGGCGCATGCTATCGTTCCCCTTCGTCGTCCTCAACATTTGTTAACGAACTCCACGACGTTATGAACCAGATCGTAACACGTTTCCCCAGTTATCCCTTATTTTTACTCGGCGACTTTAACTTTCCGAACATAAAGTGGACTACACAACCAGCTTCCATTTCTCCTTTTTCGACACAAGCTTCTGAGTTTTTTAACTTTTGCTCTATCTTTTCTTTAACGCAATTAGTAGATCATTCAACTAGAATATCATCTCACGCAGCTAACACTCTTGACTTAATCCTAACTACGCGGCCCGATTTTACTTCCGACATAACGTACTTGCCCGGAATCAGGGATCATTCTCTTCTCAGTTTTTCTTTTAATGCATCATTCTCAAAAAATTCAAACAACAAAAAAGTCATTCGCGACTA